GGTGCTGCAATGAACTCAGTTGGCTATTAGTGCTGCAGTGAACTCAGTTGGCTATGAGTGCTGCAGTGAACTCAGCTGGGTATTAGTGCTGTAGTGAACTCAGTTGGCTATTGGTGCTGCAATGAACTCAGTTGGCTATTGGTGCTGCAATGAACTCAGTTGGCTATTGGTGCTGCAATGAACTCAGTTGGCTATTGGTGCTGTAGTGAACTCAGTTGGCTATTGGTGCTGCAATGAACTCAGTTGGCTATTGGTGCTGCAATGAACTCAGTTGGCTATTAGTGCTGCAGTGAACTCAGTTGGATATTAGTGCTGCAGTGAACTAAGTTGGCTATTAGTGCTGCAGTGAACTCAGTTGGCTATTGGTGCTGCAATGAACTCAGTTGGCTATGAGTGCTGCAGTGAACTCAGCTGGGTATTTGTGCTGTAGTGAACTCAGCTGGGTATTAGTGCTGCAGTGAACTCAGTTGGCTATTAGTGCTGCAGTGAACTCAGTTGGCTATTAGCGTTGCAGTGAATTAAACTTGGTATTAGTGCTGTAGTGAACTCAATTGGCTATTGGTGCTGCAGTGAACTCAATTGGCTATTGGTGCTGCAGTGAACTCAGTTGGCTATTTGTGCTGCAGTGAACTCAATTGGCTATTGGTGCTGCAGTGAACTCAGTTGGCTATTTGTGCTGCAGTGAACTCAGTTGGCTATTGGTGCCCCAGTGAACTCAGTTGGCTATTGGTGCTGCAGTGAACTCAGTTGGCTATTGGTGCCCCAGTGAACTCAGTTGGCTATTAGTGCTGCAGTGAACTCAGTTGGCTATTAGTGCTGCAGTGAACTCAATTGACTATTTGTGCTGCAGTGAACTCATTTGGCTATTGGTGCTGTAGTGAACTCAGTTGGCTATTTGTGCTGCAGTGAACTAAGTTGGCTATTGGTGCTGTAGTGAACTCAGTTGGCTATTGGTGCCCCAGTGAACTCAGTTGGATATTAGTGCTGCAGTGAACTCAGCTGGCTATTGGTGCTGCAGTGAACTCATTTGGCTATTGGTGCTGTAGTGAACTCAGTTTGCTATTAGTACTGCAGTGAACTCAGTTGGCTATTGGTGCTGCAACGAACTCAGTTGGCTATTGGTGCTGCAGTGAACTCAGTTGGCTATTAGTGCTGCAGTGAACTCAGTTGGCTATTAGTGCTGCAGTGAACTCAATTGACTATTGGTGCTGCAGTGAACTCAGTTGGTTATTGGTGCTGCAGTGAACTCAGTTGGCTATTGGTGCTGCAACGAATTCAGTTGGGTATTAGTGCTGTAGTGAACTCAGTTGGCTATGAGTGCTGCAGTGAACTCAGCTGGCTATTGGTGCTGTAGTGAACTCAGTTGGCTATTGGTGCTGCAGTGAACTCAGTTGGATATTAGTGCTGCAGTGAACTCAGTTGGCTATTGGTGCTGCAGTGAACTCAGTTGGCTATTGGTGCTGCAGTGAACTCAGTTGGCTATTTGTGCTGCAGTGAACTCAGTTGGGTATTAGTGCTGCAGTGAACTCAGCTGGGTATTAGTGCTGTAGTGAACTCAGTTGGCTATGAGTGCTGCAGTGAACTCAGCTGGCTATTGGTGCTGTAGTGAACTCAGTTGGCTATTGGTGCTGCAGTGAACTCAGTTGGATATTAGTGCTGCAGTGAACTCAGTTGGCTATTGGTGCTGCAGTGAACTCAGTTGGCTATTGGTGCTGCAGTGAACTCAGTTGGCTTTTTGTGCTGCAGTGAACTCAGTTGGATATTAGTGCTGCAGTGAACTCAGTTGGCTATTGGTGCTGCAGTGAACTCAGTTGGCTATTGGTGCTGCAGTGAACTCAGTTGGCTATTTGTGCTGCAGTGAACTCAGTTGGGTATTAGTGCTGTAGTGAACTCAGTTGGCTATTGGTGCTGCAATGAACTCAGTTGGCTATTGGTGCTGCAATGAACTCAGTTGGCTATGAGTGCTGCAGTGAACTCAGTTGGATATTAGTGCTGCAGTGAACTCAGTTGGCTATTGATGCTGCAATGAACTCAGTTGGCTATGAGTGCTGCAGTGAACTCAGCTGGGTATTAGTGCTGTAGTGAACTCAGTTGGCTATTGGTGCTGCAATGAACTCAGTTGGCTATTGGTGCTGCAATGAACTCAGTTGGCTATGAGTGCTGCAGTGAACTCAGTTGGATATTAGTGCTGCAGTGAACTAAGTTGGCTATTAGTGCTGCAGTGAACTCAGTTGGCTATTGGTGCTGCAATGAATTCAGTTGGCTATGAGTGCTGCAGTGAACTCAGCTGGCTATTAGTACTGTAGTGAACTCAGTTGGCTATTGGTGCTGCAATGAACTCAGTTGGCTATGAGTGCTGCAGTGAACTCAGTTGGCTATTAGTGCTGTAGTGAACTCAGTTGGCTATTAGTGCTGTAGTGAACTCAGTTGGCTATTAGTGCTGTAGTGAACTCAGTTGGCTATTAGTACTGCAGTGAACTCAGTTGGCTATTAGTACTGCAGTGAACTCAGTTGGCTATTGGTGCTGTAGTAAACTCAGTTGGCTATTAGTGCTGTAGTGAACTCAGTTGGCTATTGGTGCCCCAGTGAACTCAGTTGGCTATTAGTGCTGTAGTGAACTCAGTTGGCTATTAGTGCTGTAGTGAACTCAGTTGGCTATTAGTGCTGTAGTGAACTCAGTTGGCTATTAGTGCTGTAGTGAACTCAGTTGGCTATTAGTGCTGTAGTGAACTCAGTTGGCTATTAGTGCTGTAGTGAACTCAGTTGGCTATTAGTGCTGTAGTGAACTCAGTTGGCTATTAGTGCTGTAGTGAACTCAGTTGGCTATTGGTGCTGCAATGAACTCAGTTGGCTATTAGTGCTGCAGTGAACTCAATTGGCTATTGGTGCTGCAATGAACTCAGTTGGCTATTGGTGCTGTAGTGAACTCAGTTGGCTATTGGTGCTGCAGTGAACTCAGTTGGCTATTGGTG